TGGAGGCATTTCCAGTACTAAAGTTGTACTACTGCTGGCTGTACTAAAGCTGTACTGCTGTACTTCTAATTACCGTACTGCTACTGTACTACTCCTGTACTACTGTACTACTGCTGCACTACTGCTGTACTACTAGCTCGGGCCTTTGCCATGGCGGCGGCCCTTTTTGACAAGTTGACGCGTCAAGTTACAATTTTTCACTTTCATCTCAAACACTTCTTGGCATGTTGACGGGACTTTTAGTATGTTGACGGGCGTCCCCACCGACACGCTTCGACGGGGCTTGGGGCTCGGGGCGCCGCCTTGAGCTCCACGTCGCCTCCGTCGTCTTGAACGGAGGGACGGATCCGGTTCAGGAGCACCTCTCTCTCAAAGTCCACAGTCTACAAGGATCTACAGTCTCGGATCCGGGCCGGGCCCCCTCACCCCCTTAGCCTCCTCAAGCAGAGCCGTTCCAGGCGCAGAGGCCGGGCCAGCACCCTCAAAGCCCTCGCTCTCCGGGCTCTCCTGCCAGAAGAGTCCACGGATGCCGCCTCCCTGGCAGAAGAGAACCGACGCTTGTTTCTGCCTCCTCGGGCAGCGCATGGAGGAGGTCCTGCACCTGTGCCGACAACCTGCGAGCGAACGGCCATGAAAAAGTCATCAAAGCCTGGAAGCGCAAACCACAAAGTGACCCAGCGCTGTCAAAGCACTGCTTCCAGTCGGCGCCCTGCTGCCGCGTCACGGCGAGCCACGAGCTGCCCTCCGCCGCGATGCAACAGCACACGCACACACACCGAACAAACGCGCAAACTCGCAGTCCCGGAAACTCTCCTCGCCGACGAAGACGTCGCGCACTCCGGGCAGGTCCAGCAGCTCGTGCCGGGCGCGGAGAGGAACGCGTGAGGAGCTCCTCGAGTCGACTCCGCGGCTTTCAGAAGCCCGAGCAGACCCTTCGGGCCGCAGACGCGAACTTCCAGACATTCGGGTTCGGCGTCTCCTCCCATCGAAAACGGCTTCTCATTCTTCCGTGGGCTTCCGAGGCTGTGTCGCTCAGGGCCCTCTCCTGCACTGCCCAAGTGCCGGCTGTCCGGACGGGCCACCTCGAAAACAAGGCACAACTTCCTAGCATATTCCCGGCCAAACAGTCCCAAGCCTCCAATGCCTGCACCTAAAAGCGATCGCATCCAGCGTGACAGCACGCCGCATGATGCACGAGTTGCCTTTTGGTTGCTTCACTTATGCTAGCTTTCCATGCCTGACGTATACTACACCTGCCGCCACAGTCTGCTCATGCGTTGCACTCCATTAATTTACGCTTCCTTTGCACTGGCATTTGCATGCTTTCTCCCTGGCTAGTGAAGCCAGTTGTCAAGCCACATGTCGTTATGTTGCGGGTACACCTCGTCCCAGCAAAAAGGCTGCAAGCCAGAGCTTTCTAGATCTTAGCGGCATGCAGTGTGTACTTTGTGCCACACCCCTTCCTGCCGTCAGCCTTTCACCATCCGCTAAGCCTGCTAAGCACTGCATAGCACTGCAGATATCCATTCGCATGGCTGACTTCCGATCCCACGCATTTCACATGGACCACCGTGAGGTGCACACTCGCGCATGAATGAACACTGACAGCATCCCTGTATTTTCCGCTTTCGGAACTTGGAAGAGGCGGGGGAGATTCCAGCAAGCAGAGGTGTCAGGGCTCGAAGAGCTGGATCGCCTCACAGACATGCGGCGAGCCGGAGACAGAGCTTAGCAGCTTAGCATTGCCATGCGGCTGTGCGGCCTTGATTGCCTCTTCGTTGGGCCCCGCGTCCCAGTCTCGACCGCGCTGGGCGAAGTCCAGGGCAGTGAGGCCCTGGCTGCGGTCTCGCAGCAGTGGGTCAGCCTTGCCCTCGATGAGAGCCTTCAAAGACGCGCCACGTCCCTCCGGAACTCCTGAACTCCTTTCGTTCTGAGGCGCCGGCCCGGACGATGTCTGCATGGCCGAGGCGTGCTGCATGATGCAAGGGCGTCAAGCCCATCTCATCGTACCGGTTGATGTCTACGGCTTTGCGCATCTTGGGATTGTGTAGATAATCCTGGGAAGAAGAGTGGGAAACCGGAGGGCCGTTCTGGCAAGCTGGGGGCGGCATGCTGCGAGGCGTTGCCCTACAGTACGAGGGTACAGTACGAGGGTATGGCCCATGGGCCCTTATAGGCCATGGGCCATGGGCTCTACAGATCAAAATGCAGCTCCTCCACCACATCCAGGTGGCCATCCTCCACAAGAAAACAAGCTCCCGGCCGTCCCTGAGCTAAGGAGGCTACCGCCAGCTAGAAGCGTCAAAACCATGCGCCCTTTTGGCAGGCAATAGTCTTCGGAATCCCTGTCCTGCAATCGCCAAAGGAAGCGCTGCTGATCAGCGGGGACACACCCAAATTCTCTCTTCTGCTGCGTCTTGGTCAACGGGTATTCCCAGCCACGCTTGCCTCAAGAGCAGAACTGGTCCAACGAACGCGTGGGCTACAGTGCCTGGCCAATCGACCAACATGCAGCCTGAAAGTGACATGGCAGCACTTGCCACGAAGCTTGTGGCTCTTGACAAGAGACGATCTTCTTCCGTGATAGTTGCATTCATGTCATCGTCGCTAAATTCTGGCTCTATGCCCGCGTACTTGCTCTTGGCTGCTGCAACCTGCAAAATAATCAACCGCAGGGGCTCACCAGCATTTACAGCGGTAGCTATATGTAGTGGACAGATACATTGCCGACAAGCCTATTCAAAGTCACGAGAAGCCCCTCCGGCCCCGGCACTTGCCTCCTTCTCATAGCGCTGCCGGAAGCCCGCAACTTTGTCGGAGCCGGCTCGGGTGCGGTTTCGCTCCTGCCAGGACGGAGATTTCCTCCCACTTCCTCTTCCGAGATCCAAGGAGACAGGACTAGAGAGAGAGAGAGAGAGAGAGAGAGAGAGAGATGTAAAGAGAAAGAGAAAATCTGGGAGTGGAGTGAGCCGGAGCGAGAGCCAGAGCAAGTGAGGCAGAGAGAGAGAGAGAGAAGGAGAGGGAGGGCGAGAGAGAGGGGAATGCAGAACGAAACTCGCCCTGTCCTCGGCTACATCGAGCACCAGCTTGTGGCTCGGGGTGTGGAAGGCGAAGGTAAGAACTGGGTCTTCCTCTGCCGCACCTGCACGAGCTTACATCACTGAAGCCCTAAGACTAAGACCCCTGAACATACCGACCTTCATAGTACAGGAGGCCATCCCCCGAGTAGTTCGCCATTTCGAGCCAAAGCTGGCCAGATGGAAGATGAGTTGGTTCACGCAGGTTTTTTCGATTCTGATGCAGCTGGGATGTAGCCTCTTTTGCGGGTGTGCGCGGGTGGGCTCTGCTCTGCTGCATCCGACTACATGTGCTCAGGTTTGTCCATGTTTGTCCATATAGCGAATGGAAACATGCACCCATGTGCCTCGAGTAAACCTTCATCCCCAACAACCCCTAACTGCGTCAGCGCAGGTTCCGACACCCTCACTGCTAGCTCCCAGACGTATACGAGAGAGCGAACAGAGGAAGGCCCCAGCGCCCATCGCCGCCCGGTGCCCGTCACGACCTGCGAGATGCAAGGAAGGCGAGATCCAGTCCACTCGCATTCCTCTGGGGGCTCGCCTTGACCGCCGTGGCGAACCTAACGTCGTCGATAACTGTCTCCTTAAGAGAAACCGCGAGAGTGTTGATATGATGTTTCAGGGAAGGGCGAGTCTGCTCTTCCGGCAACATAAGCTGCTGCTCCTGGCTATGTGGGGCTTTCAAGGCACCCTGCCGAGTGGCTGGAGTCGTCCCTGCGCCCTCGCGGCCTGCGCAAGCTAAGTTCCTACGGTACCACGGACAAGCCCTGCATTCAACTTCAACTCGATCAACAGTAGTTCTGTACGCTGGAGCGTCGTTTCAAGACTGAGGATCAAGCCTTGCAACCTTCCGACCAGCTGATTAGCCGAAAGAACTGGGTCGACATTCCTTCCTGCAACTTGTAGAGCTGAGCACTGCGGCCTGGAGTCGCGCCGCGGTGATCTCCCGCGAGCTCGCGAGTCGCGACGGCCCCTCGAGTCCTGTGGGCTGCCCGGAGCCTAGAGGAGCTGTTTACAGCATGAAAAATACAGCTATATCCGATCATCCAGGTATGTGCATGTCTACAGCAAGCAAACGTATACAGCTCATGCATCTGTATCTGTATATGTATGCCCGTGTATTTGTCTATCTATCTATCTATCTGTCTATCTATCTATCTATCTATCTATCTGTCTATGTACACATACTTCTCTGATTATATATATATATATACATATACATAGATGCATGTATGCGCACACACAGATACATATACTTATAGATCGATATATATATATATATATACACACACACATGCGTGTGCACATCTCTGTCGGTCTGTTTGCACTCGTGCTACCACGTTGGCATGCACGCATCATGCATGCATACCTACATACGTATGTATACTTGTTTGTGGGTTTTCACGTGCACATACCATGTGGCTTGCGGTCTAAGCTGCATCACGTCGTCTCGATCTCGAGTCGCGGCGGCCCCGCCGGGAACGGGACCTTGACCTGCCAGAAAATGCCAGAAAGCTTCCCCGAAAAGCAGAAAAGGGGTGGTCGTCGGGCGATGATCTCATGTGCTTAACGGAAAACACACTCGTCTTTGTCATCGTAGCATGGGAATGTTCGTGCGAACCTGCTGCCACTGGCCAATACTTCAAATTTGCACAGCACGGACTTTACAAGAGTGCTGCCTCGAGCGTCCAGAACTCTTGCGCACATTTGGGTTGAATCGACCTCAACTTCCAGCAAAAAGGCCGCACCGGACGTCCGTGAAACAATGTGTCCGAGAACCCATGCCATCGACTGCAACACTGTTGTGCCAAGCGTCCTTTCTGCACAGTTGCAAGCATGCATTTGAGCGTCTTTCCCTCGAGCTCATAGCCTTCCATCTCCTTCACGGCATCCTCTGCATCCTGTAAACTCAGCAAACCGTCCATCCGTTCGCGTTCCCGGCATCGCAAACTGGTTACATGGCCAGGAAGTGGCCAGCCATGCCTGCTTGTTGTAGAATCGCACGAAGGCGAAACCCTTGCGGTCGCCATTGGGATGGCTCGGCAAATACACCTTCGGCCCGATTCGGTGCACACGAGCTGTTTTAAGAAGCAACTTGGAGCTTTGAGTTTGCTTTATAAGTTGCCGTCAAAGTGGCATCTCCGACTCGACCATACTTGCCAAACAGCTTCTCCAGGTCTTCTTTTTCAACGCGGGTGGACACATAGTCGATTTTGACCTTAGGCAGCCACACAGATGTGACCTGCTTCATGATGCTAAAACAGTGCGACAGTAAAAGGATGGACAATAGACGTCGATCGGTGCAGACATCCACGCAGGAGTCGCGAAAGAGTCACTTTTGAAGGCTTTCGGTGGTGGGCCTTTGGGGCATGTTGGTGTTGAAGGCTTTTCCCGGAGGCTTCGTGAGGACTGCTGCAACCAGTTGAACTTGGCCAGTAGCCGAATCGACGAAAACCTGGTCCCCTATCGAACGAGGGACTGAGTGCATCTGCTCCACATCGTTCGGAATCAGATTCGACATGGTTTCAGATGGTGAAAGATGACAAGCGAGATGTCTTGCAAACCGGGGCAATACTGCGATATCGCAAGTGATGCTGCCATGCGGACATAGCTCGTCGTCAGGTTAAGTGGCACTGAGGTTTTGGGTGGCTTGGTCGTAGCTGGCTGTCGCATGTCGCATGCCGGGCACTTCCCGGGCAAGTCAAACTGGCGACTTTGCGTCGCGGCAGCCAGAGCCCAAGCCGGCGAAGATTTACAGCAAGTACGCACGGTAAGTAAGGATCGGAAGTGCGACAAGGGCGGAAACGGTGCAGTCGTGTGGAGGCGTCCTTTTGAAACTCGAGAGATCCACGGCTTGGCATCTCTGCAAAGGAGGCAGGAAGGCTGGCGGCAATTCATCGGAATGCCAGCAGCAAAATGCCTGCCCCGCTTGCTCCACAGGCGTGCAACTAGCAGACAGAAACAGAACAGCTTGCAAACGAATTCATGCAGCCGACCGCTGCGTGGAAAACTTGCATAGTGCCCCGAACCCACCGAAGACACAGTCATTAGATAAGGTTCATGCCGCAATGCTACACCCCGAAACATGGTGCACTTCCGTGGCAATCTGGCGCATGTTCTGAGGGAAGTACATTCCGGGCATGCGTAGCCCTGTGAAAAATCTTGCAATATCTACAAAGCTTCCACTAAAACCGCCACGTCCAGTGAGAGGCCGTGAAAAATCTGTTGTCACTGCTTTCGAATTCATGACGGCTCTCGCCCACGCCGATCTCGATGTCCACAGGACTGTAATGGCTGCTACACGTCCTCCAGCTGCTCAACATCCCCTGCCCCCAAAGCTGAGCATGCCAATGTTGGTGACCAAGTGTCCCCTTGTAGGCACCCTTTTCGACCCCAATGACCAGGCCCAGCATCATAACTACAATACGAACATGAAGACCAAACCCTGAAGTCGATGTCCATGGATTTTTTTTATCTGGGGCAGCATCCGCAAACGAATGCGACGGCGACTTGAATGGGCGATGGTCGACGAGTCTACAAGCATCCGAATCATCCTCCGAATGCCGGAGTCCTTGTACTCGGGTTCCTGCGCCTTCACCTGCCCACCCAATCTTGCGTCTGACCGCGCCACCAGAAGGAAAGATATAACACGCAATTAGAATGAAGTTTAGAATCGTGATATCGATACCCCACAAATGCGAGAACTACGTTGTCGTCTTGACCCAGGCCACAAGAAGAAGCGGCTGAGAAATCAAGCCGTGCAAAGAATCAGACCAAGTATCGTCATGAGAGTATGACCCTCACCGGTCACACTGTGCAGGCTGGTCAACCGCTCCTAGCAGCTACTAGCAAGGCAACTGTGCCGTAAAATTGCCTAAGGACCTGATGAGGCCTATGCAATTTGCAACTACTAGTGCGCATTACCGTCCGAACAGTGAAGATCAAATGTCAGCGTGCAACGTGGCATTGGGACCCGAAAATTTGCCCGTGCAAAGTACAGTTACCCCGCATGCAAGCCATCTACACCTGCGTATACGCGAACCTAGCGAACGATCACTTTGTCCCTCCTTTTCGTTCAGGAGTATACAACAGACAGACAGACAGATAGACAGATAGCCAGGCAGGCAGGCAGGCAGGCAGACAAACAGACAGGAGATACATACTTACAAACATGCATGCATGCATACACAGGTACATGTCGCCATAAATGCGTATGTTTGGCAATGTGTGTGTGTGTATATATATATATATATATGTGTGTGTGTGTGTGTGTCAACACGTGGTACATACATACATACATACATACATACATACATACATACAGACAGACAGACAGACAGACAGACAGACAGACATACATACACACACCCATGCATGCATACCTGCATGCATACATGCAGGCGGGCAAACAGAGAGAAGAACAACACATGCAGACTTACATTACTTTGTAACACTTGCACTCGGCGGCAGGCGAGGAGTCTGGGCAGAACTACAAGTAAGTACGTAGCTTTACTTCCTTACTTACACACGCAGAATGACACCCAATTTTTTATGTCTGCTGCTGGACTCTCCCTCAGCGGCCCGTGACACCTTGCGCCGACGCCGGCGCCGACGAGGGGGAGGTGGGCTGGCATCTTGAAAGCTGTCACGGACCAGCCTCAGGCTCGGGAGAAGGCGCTGCCGCATCCTGTTCTTGCCGCGCATCCTTGCAAAGCGGTCCTCTTCCTACTACCCATGGACTCACTACGGTACTTCCGAGGTCCGTGCTAAATACAATCTACCGCTGCTGTGGCTGCTTCAATCACTGCTCGTGACTAGCAGATACCAGCATTTAGTGCGGCTACTCGGGGTGGATACGAGGCGCGTAAACTTCTAAATCCAAGCAGGATCCATGGAAGACGAAGCTAGTCGCGAGCTTAGGTGCGACTCCATCTTCGAGAGCTTCTCGGCTGCAGAGCTGTGATCGTCCATCAGCTGTTGCCTTGGTAGTCCCGCTCTGGCACTCGCTGCTCGAGGATTTAGCCTCCGTTCTGTGCCGAGTTGCAAGGTGTAGCGAACAAAGCGAGTGGCAGTCTTCGAGTCAAATGCCCAGCGAGCCAAGGTCCTCTTAAACTCGTCCGGATCCACTGTATGATTCCTCGGCTGCTCTTCCACTCCGAAACTGCCCTGGGCCGCCTGGGCCTCCCTCTCTGACTCTGCAGACTCTGACTTCTGTGAGGCTCTGGTTGTGGTCCAGCATGGTGAAGAGCTGCTCGAGATCCGTCTGGTCGATGTCCATGACCCGAAGCCGGTGTTGAAACTCTCGGACCTTCTGAGCACCTCAGAAAATACTCCAACATTTTTCAGGGAGGCGCGGGGAGCCCTCCGCGCCTTTCACCAGCTCCTCCCAGCTCAGCTGGCCGTCGTTGTCGCTGTCGATCTTGGCGAAGATCTTGTCCAATTCCTGCAGCTCCTCCTCCGCGTCCTCATCCATCTCCTGCGCCATGCTCGTCACGTCCTGCGCGCGAGGAGGGCTCGCTCTTCAACAACTCGCAGGGCCCTGGGCCTTGGTGCGCTGCTCCGCGAAAGTGTCGACCACAACCGCGACCACCAGGTTCAGCCTATGCAGGAAAGCCGAATCTGCCGCCGGAACATGAAGAACTTCAGTGGCTTCAGTGGCTTCAGGGTTCCCCGAGACCAGCGCTTTAGCAGAAACTGGACAATGATGACGACGAGATCAACGCGATTCATGCACTGCGACTGCTGCGGAAAGTCGGAAGAAGCGAACTGAGCTGCAGGCACCCCAAAGACGATGGAGAGCTGGGAACCGATAAAGATTGGGATAGCGGTCCAGGGATGGCTTTCGATGAGCGGCACGGCCACCTCAAGATCGATTTACCGGAAAACAATGCTTAACATTCAATCCTTTTGTTCCTGAATCTGTGATCTTGCCAATTTCGGCTCCCGCTCTGATGTGTCGCGTATCTCCGGTGCACAGAAATCGCATACCCAACCTACGGTACTTCTTACGCGAGGCTACAGGCTCCTCAGGTTATGAGGTTATGCTACATGGCATGTGCTCGCTGGTCCTTCAAACTCGTGTTCAAGGTGGTACATGTAGGCGTTCCGTCGCTCTCCGCACCCTCCGTCCTTCGTTTCTCTGAAAGTGCTGCCGGCTCCGCCTTGCCCCAGCTGTCCCCAGCCACGACCGTTTTGAAGAGGAGCAGGTCCGCAGACATTACGGATTGAAGAGAGCGGCGGCAAAACTCGCAGTCTTCCCAGTGACTCGCCAATTCTGGCATGTAAGGGTTCAGCAATTCTACGGCGAGCATGGCCCAGCTCGTCATCACCACGAAGCCTCGGCATTTAAAGCCAAGCCATGGCAAGCCTTGCCAAACTAACTCGATACTGCAACTGGTTTCGGCGTCCAGGGAGCAGAAGAGGAAGGACCAGCACAGCGTTTTGAAGCAGGAGGCCTCAAGCTCACAGAAGCAAACGCATGCTCTGACTCTGTGGATGGGGTTCTAAGCAGCTGACGGTCATCCGGATCAGTTTCCGCAGCTCCTTCAGCATGGCGAACTTCCGGAAGAGCCGGAAAAGCCGCATAATTCGGACCACACGGAGCATGCGGAGGATGGTGACTTTGTCCAGGGAAACTCCAATGAAGCCGAGCAGGAGCTGCACGAGCCCAAAGATCACGATCAGCATGTCCTCTTTGCCAGCGATGCCCATGACTGCGCGCTGCGCGTGCACTGCGCGGTACTACGCGGCACTGCACTGCATTGCACTCCAATGCGCTGCACCGCGAATGAAATTGAACAGTAGTGAACGCTCTCGCAAGAGGTCATTGAAAGGTATCGTAAGGTTGCTGTACTGCCAAATGCTGCATTCATGTGATCCAAGTGTCACGTGAACTGCAGCAATCTGCATCCCGGAAGCTCTGACAAACCGGCTTCTCAACATCAAAGGAAGAGCGTAGGTGAGCCTTTAGAATGTACTCTTCCGAATCGCAGAGTCGACGGCATCAGTGTGTGTGTGTGATGTTCATGTACTGCAAAAATATTGTTGTTGATATCATCTTCAGGTAATGATATTGCAAACTGTTTGATGCAATATGATGCAATGCTGATGCAATGTTGTTAAGGTGGTACTGTTTATGTAATGTGAATATGAAGTGAATGCAGCGAAAAAATGTGGCTACTGTAGCGTCAATATGTGTTAATGTTGCGTGTGCTTGCTGATACATGTGGAGGCATCCCTCATGCACTGTATGTATGTATGCATCTGTGCATGTACGCCGTCCCCTCCCTGCCGCTGCATGCTTGTATGCTTGGTATTTGTTGCAGGTAGCTATGTATGCATGCATGCTTGCATGCACATGTGTATCGCAAGTCTCGTGTGCACCGTATGTACATGCATGTAAGTATGCAAGTATGTATGCAGGCATTTGTGTATGTATGTGTGCACGTATTTATGTGTGTCTGTGTGAATATGTGTCAGTAAGTATGCGCGCATGCACAAGCTTAAAGCAACGCATGTATA